ACTGGACTCACAAATGGGAAGGGTGGGGTAGGGTACGGGGGAGAGGAGGTTGAAGAAGATGATGAATAGTTTTAAAAAAAAAATTTATTATAGAAAATGTAAACGGACCATTTTACCCTCATCTATTTGTTAATTTGAATCAAACATTTAATTTAAGGGTTGACTAACGGATAAGTGGATGAAATCTATCAAATGGACTTTAGCTGCCACAGAAGTTAAAGGTTTGGGACTGCAGCCGGAAAAATTAAAGGTTAAGTTGTATTTTGCAATAAAATGAAAGATTTGGGACCTCTGCTGCAATTATCCCTCTCATTTATTATCCACATGTTCCATAAAACTCACAATTTATAATACCTAAAAGCACTACCAAACATACTATAAATACTATGCCATCAAAGAGGTTTATTAATACGATAAACAAGCAGAGGCAGAACTGGGGTCTTCAACTATGAACATAAGCAACAAGCTCAAACAAAAAGGTAAAAACCACAAGCCACAAACAAGCTGGTAACACTTGTAATTACCCATTTTGAGGCTCCAGAAAGTATACATGAAGCCCTTCAACTTTCCCCAACCAAACTTTTATTTCAGTCCCACCCCACGAATAGCTTTTGTGAAACTGAAAGTCCTCCACCTGTTCCATAAACATGCATTACTATGAATAAAAGTAACAATATACTTGATGAATATTTAACAAGGAATATATGATGCAGTGGTAGAAAGAATATTTCAGTACATGAGTAGAAAGCAACGAACAAGAATGAAACTTGATAAGAAAGGGAGAGAGAGAAGCATGGGGAGAGAATCAAGAGAGAACTAAGAGGAAGAAAATATCAGTTCTAAGTGTTACAATGCAAAGACTTCATTATGTAAGGTTTCACGTAACTAAATAGGAAAATAACTATAAAATCTATTAAAGCGAACCCTAATTGTTTACTAAAGTATTTATATGGAAACTCTTCCACATAAAATCTATTAAACTAAAACCTGTTGGAAAAATAAACAAGTGATGACTTTAAAAACCAAAACCAAACTTACCAATCTTACCGAAATTTGGATAGAATAACGGTAAGGAAACAAGATAAAAATATTTCATAAAAATAATGACAAATGAAATGGATGCAAAGTCGAGGTAAGAGTTGAAATCTTTGTCCATAAACCGATTTTTCCCACAATGGTGCCTATAGATGATGGCAATCAACTCCTAAGATACAACAACTATCCTCTTATGTCAGTAACACTCCAAAACATCAATGAACAAAAATCAGATTTTGTACTCTTGTTAAATGAACAAAATAAAACCAAATGAACAAAATAAAACCAGAATTTATGCAAAGTATATGAAGAATTTTGGTAGAGAAAAAAGAAAGTCAAAGTATGCTATGATTGCATATCATTGGGATGAAGAAATGGACGTCCCAAGGATTCTATTTATAGAGAATTAGGGGTTGTGAGTGAAGTGCTGCGTGCCAAACCTTGCAACTTTATCAACAGAAGCATCACTTGCCGTCGCTAACATCTTGCTCGAGCACTAATTTCAAAGTTTTAACAGAACCTTTTTCGTCTGCTTGTCGCTCAAGCGATAGGAGAGCGACGTAGTTAGGCAAAAATCCAGGCCAATTTTTCCTCTATTTTTCTTCCAACTTTGGATTACAATTTCACATTCATCCGGAATTGGTTTTGAACTTTCAAATATATCAAATAATCTACTTGACGAGTAGAACAAGTTAGTCTATTTATATTTGTAATTTGACTATCGGATCAAGTCCGAATATTTGGCCGAAGTTGACACAAAAGTTACTTTTCCCATTTTTGTACTTAACCAATTCCAACAATTCCCTACATTAATGGAAATTTACAATATGCAATACACAATACAAATGATATGTAGACTCTAACTAAAGGAGTACATATGACAAGTAGCATCAAGGTAGGTGACTTATAGATTTGAACCTTCCTTAGTTGAATACAATCAAATTTACTAAGCTAATTAGTGAAATTGATGTCTTGAACTATTCAACCGTTCGTGTAAATCAAAACAACTGTATCAATACCATAACTTATCTAATCAATTCAATTCTCATGGTTGTGTTCATTTTGGACCTGAACAACTCTTGGTTTCATAAGTACTTTAAGAGAATTTAAGGCTCAAATTCTTGTAGAAGCAGCCATTTATATAGATGATCTCCTACCTTTCTTCCAAAGCGTAGGAATCATTAAAAATATACACTTATCCTTATACAAAATTTTACTCTAGCACTTAAGGTTTGTAGGAATGGGAGTAAGTGCTTTACTTTGAATCTTTCATAAATTGGTTGTCACATTAAACCAAGATCTTGGGATCTCCAATCTATAAGGTAGGGTTTTTGTTATGATGATTCCATTCGATTGGCTTTAGGCCCAATCCCTTCGTGAGATGGTATACTTGATCTCTTCTAAGTCCTTTCATCAAAGGATTCGCTAAGTTGTCTTTTGATCTAACATAATAAATCGAAATTATACGATTTGATATTAACTGTTTAATGGTATTATGTAACTAACGTATATGCTAAAATTTACTATTATACGTACTATTTTGTGCTATTGCAATTGTCGATTGATTATCACAATGGATATTTATCGCAGGTACCGACTTTTCCCAATATGGAATATCTTCGAGAAAATTACGAAGCCATTCCGCCTCTCCGATTTTATCTAAAGCAATAAACTCAAATTCCATCGTGAATCGAGCTATACAAATTTGCTTAGATGATTTCCAAGACATAGCTCCATCTCCAGTGGCAAATACATAAATACTTGTAGACTTTGAATCCTTTATGTCAAATACCCTCGATTGATTATCACAATGGATATTTATCGCAGGTACCGACTTTTCCCAATATGGAATATCTTCGAGAAAATTACGAAGCCATTCCGCCTCTCCGATTTTATCTAAAGCAATAAACTCAAATTCCATCGTGAATCGAGCTATACAAATTTGCTTAGATGATTTCCAAGACATAGCTCCATCTCCAGTGGCAAATACATAAATACTTGTAGACTTTGAATCCTTTATGTCAAATACCCAACCTTGTAGTGTAATCCATACTCAACCTTGTGTCTTAAGTATTTAAGTACTCGAGTCAATGCCTTCCAATGATCAGCACTTGGATTACCTGTAAATTTACTCAACTTGTTGACTACATATGCTATATCTAGACGCGTGCAGTTGGTAATGTACATCAAACTGCCTATAACACGTGAATATTCCAATTAAGATACGAGATCACCAGTATTTTTGGTTAAGTGTAAACTTAAGTCTACTGGTATCTTAACTGATCTATCATCATATGCCTTAAATTTCTTTAGTATAACCTCAATATAGTGTAATTGAGACAATGACAAACCATCAAGTGTCTTAGAGATCTTAATCCCTAATATCAAGTCCACAATTTCCATATCTTTGGTGTCAAAATGTTTGATTAACATTTTCTTGGTTAAGAAAATAGTGTTCCAGTTATTTCCCATATTAGCATATCATCAACATATACGATCACGTATTTGTTAGGTGTGTTTTTTATGTAGACACATTTGTCACATTCATTGATTCTAAAACCATTTGACAACATAGTTTTGTTAAATTTTTCACGTCACTACTTCGGTGCTTGTTTTAAACTATACAACGATTTTACAAGCTTACACACTTTTTTCTCATTTTCCAAAGCAACAAATCCTTCATGTTCCATATATATTTCTTCTTCTAATTCGCCATTTATGAATGCATTTTTAACATCCATTTAATGTATTTCAAGAATATGCAATGTCGTAATTGCAATCAATACACGTATAGAAGTGGTCCTCATAACAGGTGAATAGGTATAGAATAAATCTAGTCATTCCTTATCTATACCCTTTGGCTACTAATCTAGTCTTATATTTGTCTATTGATCCATCCGACTTCAATTTCTTTTTGAAGATCCACTTATAGCCTAAAGCTATATTTCTCAGAAGGAGTTAAACCAATTTCTAAGTATGATTATTCATAATGGATTCAATTTCATTATTAACCGTTTCTTTCCAAAAAGGAACTTCAGGAGAGGACATTGCTTGTTAAATGTCTTGAGATCATTTTCTAGTAGATGTGTTAGAAATTCTGGACCAAAAGTCTTATAAATCCTTTGCCTTTTACGGTGCCTTAGTTCTTCATCTATTTGATTATTGTCATCTTCTAGATTGTTTTCATTCGCAGCATCATAAGTTCGTTTGTGTGAACTTATTTCTTTTTCCTTAAATGGAAAGATATCTTCAAAGAAAGCATCATTCCTTGATTCAATGATCGTACCTTTATGTACATCAAGTATTTTCGATTTATGAACCAAAAATCGATATGCGTTATTTTTATTTACATATCTGATAAAGACACAATCTATTGTCTTGGGTCCAATCTTTACTTATTTAGGACTAGCTATTTGAACTTTTGCTAAACACTCTGCATTGTAAGATATTTATAGGAAGGCTTCTGATCTTTTCATAACTCATAAGGTGATTCAATCTTACTTTTGTGTGGTATTTTATTAAGGATATAATTTGTAGAAAGAATTGCTTCCCTTCACAAGTTTTGAGGTAAGCCTGAACTAACCAACATTGCATTCATTATTTCCTTAATGTTCTATTTTTGCGTTCAGCAATCCCATTTGATTAAGATGAGATGGTGCTATAGTTTGATAAATAATTCCAAATTCTGAACAAAATTCTTCAAATGGAGCGACATATTCTCCACCTTGATCGCTATGAATCATTTTTATTCGTTTTTCAAATTGATTTTCAACTTCAGTTTTGTAGTGCTTAAACATTTCTAAAGCTTCATCTTTACTTTTCAACAAGTATACATAGCAGTATCTTGTACAATCATCTATGAATGTGATAAAATACTTTTCCCACATCTTGTTTGTACAACCTTTAAATCACTTATATTCGTGTAAATAAGTTCCAAAGGTGTTGTGCATTGTTCAACTAAGTGAAACGACATTTTGGCTAACTTAGCCTTTACACAACTTTCGCATTTCCCATTATTAAAATGCATACTAGGTAATAAACTTAAATTCATTAACTTGAGTATAGAATTAAATTTTGCATGTCCTAATCTATAATATCATAAATTAGAAGACTCAAGAACATAAGTAGAAGATATTTTATTCCTTGAGTTATTCAGTACAATAGTAAGGACATTCATCTTGAATAGTCCATTTTTTACAGTCTTTGCATACATACAGATTATTCTTCGTAAGTATAAATTTAGCAGATACAAAGACCAGTTTAAAGCCATTCTTGCTTAATAGAGAACTTGACACTAAGTTCTTGCGAACATACGGCACATGAAGAACATTGTTAAGGCTAAGTTCCTTGCCCGACATCATCTTTAAAATTAATTGTCCTTCCATTTTTGAACTTGAGAAATTTCCCATGAACAGCTTCTCGCCCTAGGTTGGACTGTAGGAAGAGAACATTCCTTTATCAGCACATATTTGATGGTTAGCACCTATATTTACCCACCACTCCATGGGATTTCCAACATCGTTACATTCTGAAATAACGGCCGACAAATTTATATTTGATATACCATCAGATATAACATCAAATTCGGTGATATTCATTTGGGCTTGCTTCTTAAGCTTGCCACAATCGATAAAGTGATGTTCAACCTTTCCACAGTTATAACAATTGCCCTTGAATTTTTTTACATTCTTCCTAGAAGTTTCAACGGATTGCTTTCTTGTCTTGCTCTTGTTATTTGATTCCACCACATTGGCCTTAGCTCGTGGCATATGGCTCCCAACACGTTTGTTCGAACTTCTGTTATCTTCTTCAATTCTCAACCGGACGACGAGTTCTTCAATATTCATCTCTTTGTGCTTGTGCTTGTGCTTGAGATAATTCTTGAAGTCCTTCCACATGAGTGGAAGTTTCTCGATAATTGCAGCCACTTGAAATGATTCACTTAGAGAGACTCTGCGTGAATGTCATGGAGCACCACCTGCAATTCTTGTACTTAATTGATGACTTTTTTGAATCTACCATTTTGTAGTCTAAAAATTTACCCACGATGAACTTTTTTCGTTCCAACGTCTTCAGTTTTGTATTTCTTTTCCAACGACACCCATAGATCTTTGGTAGATTTCTTGAAACTGTATACGTTATATAATGTATTATCCAACCCATTCAATATGTAGTTCTTACATGAGAAATCTAAATGTTTTTTAGCATCCAATGCTATTAGTAATGCCCTATTATTTTTTCCTTTTTGCCCAGCGAGAGCATCTTCATTTAAGAATTATGCCAAGTCTAGAGTGTGAGATAAAACAACATTTGTTGTTGCCATCTTTTAAAATCAACCCCAATAAATTTCTTCAATTTTTCTCCATGTGGAAC